GAGTGAGGTTCGCATTGTCCCAGCTTCGCCTGAGCTCAGAGCAGGACCCTGAATGTCACCACAGCACCTGTGCCATCCCGTAGGACAAAGTGTTCCGGGGTTCTCTCGGGCCCCTCTACGAGAGCAGCTCCTCTGAGGGAAGCGATCCGGAAGAATCCTGGGGTCGTTCGTTGGTTGTAGAATGTATTCATGGAGACAGCAAACAATGATTTCTTTCAAAAAGAAAAAATACATCCCATGTCAGCACCGAGGGTTCAAGTCCCGGCTGCTCCACTTGTGGTCCAGCTCCCTGCTAAGGTCCCTGGGGAGGAAGGGAAGATGGCCCCATGCATGGTCCCTGCCCCCATGTGGGAGACTCTCGTGTCCCAGGCTCAGTTCTAGCCTGGGCCAGCCCCAGCACTTGGAGAGGGAATAGGCAGATGGAAGTTTCTCTCTAGCTCTCCTTCTTTTCAAATAACTAAGTCTTAAAAAAGACCTCAGGAAAACATTCTGAAATTTGCAAATCAATTCACCACCACAGGCAGTGAACCACCTGCAACCTACATACCTGTGGCCCATTTTCTCCCAGGCTCGACGCCCTGCCCCACCAGAGCCCATTCAGGAGAGCCAGTCCAGAGATGCCCCAGCTGCGTGGGACGCCAAGGGTCCCCAGATGCTCCCAACAGGCTGGCAGGAATGTCCTGGGGCAGGGCTCAGAGTTCTGCAGCGGGAGCAGTGAGCCAAGGAGGAGGAAGTTCAGGCAAGAACTCGGCACTTTCCAGAAGGGGGACTGTAACCGGAGAGAGCCTGGGCGGGGGGGGGGGGGGGGAGCAGTTAGCAGGGAAGAGGCCTATGGAAGGGGGAGGGGAGAGGCAGCAGCAAGGGCTCTGACAAGTTGCTGGACAGTCTAGAAGCACCATTTCCGGTGGAAAAGGACAATCAGAAAGCTTTCCTGGGGCTGTGCTTGTCACCTCAGACACGCAGGTCGTGGGAGAGGCTAGATCTTCCTGGCTCTTCCTGCCACCTGATGAGCTACAGTCCTGGGACCAAGGCTCACCTCAGGTCACGTGGCACAGGACACACGTGCAGAGACGAGTGCTTCTCGGGGCTGCTCTGCTGGGCACTCTGCCCGCTTCTCCTCCACAGGCGCCACCATGTTCCCTCACTCCTCTCGGGATCGAGAATCGAAAACAAAATGGAGTAAACATGGCTCATTGCTACTAGGAAACTGTGTGAGCTTGCAGGCCAGATGGCCTGTGTGGCCCTTAGCACTGATGGGCTCCAATTCTGATGAATCAAGGCTCAAGTCTGGTCATCTCGCAGGCGGCTCCAAGCAGTTAAGTGGGTGGTTACCATAACTGCTGGACCAGAGAAGAGGCAGGCCTGGGCTGTCCAGCCAACAGGTAGGGGACGTGTGGTATTTCCCCTCACCTTGCAGGCTAGTGTGGACGGCCCCCATTAAACCCTGTGAGTGTGCTGTTCGGGGCCACACTCCGGTAAGGGGTGCTGGTCCCGGCCGGCTGGTCGGCCGGTCAGTCGGTTGCCTTGCCTCTCATTTGTAATAAAACTTTGTTGCTGTGACTGGTGAATGTAACGACTGTTTCAGTGGCTGAGTGGACCCAACAAACCTAACAGAATACAGAGCAATCTTGCGGCCTTTTCTTACTCTACACACTAAAGGAGTTTTGTAAATACACAAAAAATAATGCCACTCGTTCACAGTTTTTAAAAAACAATTCTCATGGACCCAGCACGGTAGCCTAGTGAGAGAGGAGTTAGAGTGGGTAGTAGGCAGTTAGGGTATTCTGGGTCCCCGAGTAAAAGAGAATTTCCCCACCATGTCTTGGATTCACCAGAGCACATCTCTTCCAAGGGACAAGGATGCTATTAGCATATCAATTCCCCACCTGAAGTATCGGCCACTACCTCTGGCCATTGTGGGAGGGCCTCAGGCCGATCTTTTTATCATTGAAAGGAGAGCAGGAAGAAGTAATACACATCTGCCCTAGGCCTGGAATGTCCTATGTCTGGCACCTCTGTGGCCTTTTGTCCCAAGGCCAGGTGCCATGGAAACTAGGAATTTTCTTTGTTCATGGAGAAACATCTTTGAGGGAAACCTTTAAAAGGTGCATTCCCCGCCATTAATACGGGTTCTCATTTTCCGGGACCCTGCACCCGTGTGGGAGTCTGGAAGAGGCTCTTGGCTGCTGGCTTTGGATCGGCTCATTCCCCAAGTGGCCACAACGACCTGAGCTGAGCCTATCTGAAGCCAGGAGCCTGGAGCTGCTTCCAGGTCTCCCATGTAGGTGCAGGGTTCCAAGGCTTTGGACTGTCCTCAACTGCTTTCCCAGGCCACAGGCAGGGAGCTAGATGGGAAGTGGAGCGGCTGGGACATGATCCAGCACCCATAATGGGATCCCAGCACAGCCAAGGTGAGGACTTTAGCCGCTAGGCGACCATGCCAGGGCCGTGTGTTATTTTTCAATGGATTATGTCATACTGTGACAAGTTTCCAATGTTAATTTCTAACTCGGTCTTTTTTGAGATAGATGACGGTACTTCCAAAAGGTCATGGAAAAATGAAGTTAAATTTTTTTGGTAAAAAAAAAAACAAAAACCCTTTATAATCCATGCTAAGAAGAGATCTTCAAATAATTCAGAAAAATATACACTATGTTTAAAAAAATTAATTTACACCAAAATAAACGTATCTGCTAATTCCACGGGCTCGTGAACTTGTATGACCATATCAAGAAAAGCAGGGATTTTAACAGGGGTTCTGAGACCAGGGAGGCAGGGGTTTTAACAGGGGTTCTGAGACCAGGGAGGCAGAGACCAGCACCCAGGGCTGAGCTCCACACTTACAGGCACTCTGGCTTTGCTCCGGAGGGGACCCCTGGGACCCTTCACCCTCCATCAGTGATGACCTTGGGTCCCAACAAGGAGGCAGAACGCCTGCAGCTGAACGCAGAGGTGTGGCGGGAGGTGGACCAGATGGCAGAGGAGGGGAGCAGACAAGAGGGGGATAGAAGGCAAGCGAGCCAGGAGCCTGGGTCACTTCCTCCTCCCTTTGCTCTGAGCCGCTCAGTAGGAAGCTAAGGGAGACTGCCCTCCTGAGAAGCTTTCAAGGTTAAGGAAGGTCAAAAGCGGGGAGACCAGCACCACGGCCCCTTCCCAAACACCCAACCGGCCCTGGGGTCCCTCACGCACAGAGAGGAGACAGAGCCCGGTGTCACCTAGGTCCCCACCACCGCACAACTGTCTGCCACTATTTACTGGAAATGCGACCCGGCTCATTGCAGGACACGCGTGGGAATACTTGCCCTGGCTGGAATCAGAAGCTTCGAGTACAGACCTTCATTAGAAGTCCATCTCCACAGATTTCCCTGTGGTTTTCAATTATTAGAGAGAACAAACATCTCCAATATTGGCCCTACAACGCCTGCAGCCTCATCCACGTCCTGCCAGATTCTGTGAGCTTTCCTAAGAGGTCGGCTTTCTCCAGGACCTGCACGCTGGGGAGCCTGAACAACCACTTTTTAAAAAAATGCTCCCAGCATGACCTTGAATTGGAAATCAGAAGATATGAATGTAATAGCTTTGGCACAACTACACAGTTATGGGGAAGCCAGCAAGCCAGGGTTCTGCCTGTGCCTGGCCTGCCTGGCCCTGGCTAAGGATTTGGTTCCAAGTTGGGGAACTTGCAGCTCACCATTAAAGTCATCCAAAAGTACATAGCGTAGCAGCAGGATGCCATCCTCCACTTGGGAAGACAGCAACCCAAGCCGCATCCTCCCTCAGTAGTTAGACCCTGCAGTTGGGAGGAGCCCCGGCTGCCTCCCCCACAGCTTGTAGAAGGCCTGGTTTGTTTTTTTAAAGTTCTAAAGATTTATTTTTAAAGTTGTGGAAGCAGGCAAGTTTTTCTACTCCTCCTTTCAGTAGGAAGGGGGTGGGGTTCAGTTGGTGCTTCCCGCCTGGGTAGCGGGGTACCTACAATGGAAGGACCCTCTGGGCGTGCATTGCTGGTCTTGGTGGCTTAGCTCAATCATTATAAACGACAGGTCCACTGAGAAGTTAGACAGGGGGACACGGCCCTGATTGTGGGTCCTGATGGCAACTTACAGAGGCGACCAGAGATCTGGGGAAGTGAGGCTGCAGCTGTGGACAGCATCTGCAAGCAGCAAGGCATGCACCCAGGTTCCGGGCTGGCTGCGGGTCGGCCTCCCCAGCCGGCACTGCAAGGTGTAACCAAATCGCCCCTTGCGCCCGCGGGGGCCAAGAGTCCCAAAGCTCCCGTGTCTTCGTCAAACCTCACCCTCCTGGGCTCCACGTAGAAGCCCCCATGGGGGCAAGAAGGGAGAGAATCGGCGCTCGGGAAAGTCCCCCTACCCCGAGGCCCGGAACCGCCGGGATGGGGCCATGAAGAGCCAGCGAGAGCTACCTTGTGACCCCTCTGCGCCTGTCAACCCCGGCAGCGCCCGCCCGGCCAGGGTGCACCCAAAGGCGCGCCCTCGCTTCCCCTTTAAGGCTTCCCGAAACTTTCCCCCTGTTATCCAAAGAGCCTCGTCACATCCGTTGGCTGCGGCCTGCGGGGCGCGTCCCGAGGAAATTCAGGACTCGAGTTTCCCGGGGAAGAGGCGCGGTCCTGGCCCCACGAGTGTGGGGAGTGCGTGCTCTGGGGCTCTGACCTTGGCCGCTGGGGCGTGGCCGGGGGCCTGTGCTCCGCGTCGCCGCCCGGCAGAGGCGGCAGCGGCTGGAGAACTTGCTCAACTTGGCTGTGCGCGCTGGGGCGGTCCCGGCGCCTCCGCCCCCTTCGGGCCTCCGCCTCCTCGGAGCCTCCTCCCCCGGGTCCTCCTCCCTGCCTGCGCCGCCGCCGGTGCCGATGCGCTCGCCGCCGTGTCCCGCAGCCGCGCAGTAGCCAGCAGTCTCGCAGCCCCCGCGCGCCCAAGTCGCTGAGCCGCGCAGCCGGACGGAGCCAGGCCGGGCCGAGGCGAGCCGGGCCGGGCTGGGCAGGGCGCGCTCCGGGCCCCGCCACGGGCATGGGCGCGCCGGCCCGGGCGCTGCTGCTGCCGCTGCTGGCCCAGTGGCTTCTGCGCGCAGTCCCGGTGCTGGCCCCCGCGCCCTTCACGTTGCCGCTCCGGGTGGCTACGGCCACGGGTGGCGGAGCTGCGCCCAGCCCCCGACCCGGGACTCCCGCCGCGCCCCGGGCCGACGGCCTGGCGCTCGCCCTGGAGCCCGCGGGGGGCGCCGCTAACTTCTTGGCCATGGTGGACAACCTGCAGGGCGACTCCGGCCGCGGCTACTACCTGGAGATGCTGCTCGGGACTCCCCCGCAGAAGGTAGGTCGGGGGACGCGCCCTCGCCAGCCCCTTCCTGGGTAAGGGGAAGGATTCTTGGGAACCAGTAGTGTTGGGGTTGCCCCCCTCGCCACAGTTGCCAGCGGGACGTAGGTCGAGGAAGCTGGGGCGCGACCCAGGGCTGTGCGCCCGGCTTTGGAACTTGAGAGCTCGCCGGGGAGGTGCTGGGCGGCGCGGGGAGACCCGAAAGTTGCCTCTGGCGCGATGCCCCGCGGGTCGAGCGGCGCCTCCGTCCCGGAGGAGACGGTGCCGCGGGGTCTGGGGAGAGAGGCCGCGGGTCCTGGCGGGGGGAATCACCTCAGGTGATACCCACCCCCATGCTGTCTCATGGCCGAAGAGGCGCGGGCGCGCATCCAGGCTGGCGGGAGCTCAGCCAAGAACCAGCCGGTCCCCGGTGGCTCGCCGGCTGCGGGAGGAGCGAGACGCGTGCGCCCCGCGCCCGTCTCCGAGAGGGCTTCGCAGCCTCCCCCGTGTGCCAGCGCCGTGCCCCGCCTCGAACTCCGCGGTGCGGCGTGAGACGCGCAGTCAGGCTAACCAGGGAGGAATCCGGGGCCGAGCAGTGCAGAGAGGAGCCAGGTGCTCGCCCGGGCATGCTCGTCTTCGGACTCGGGGGAGTTCGTCCGCCCCTCCTCCCTCCAGCTTCTAACCCAGGTGTCGTGTGAGGTCAGGTTTTCTCAGCTGAACGCACTAAAGATGACTTTATTTTTATTTTTAACGTTGTCATTTGGGTTTTTAAGACTGCAGCAACGGTTTTCCCCCATAAATAGCAGGTACTCATGACTTTTGTGTAACTCTAATTATTCAAGACTTTCAGAGGAAAGACATGAGCTGTTAATTCTTTTAAAAAAGGAAACTCAAGTCCTGGAGCTATTTAATTAGGGTGGGTTTTTTTTTTTCTCTCTCTAACCTTCAGAAGGCTGTGCTGTGGCGGCCAACTTTGATCCCAGTTGCCTTTCAGCTTGGTCATGGGACTCCTCGTGAGGGTCCCAAGGGGGAATGGTGGCTGGAGGGAGGGCAGGGTGCGTGGGAAAGAGTCAGCTGAGAAGCCAAGCCGGCCTCAGGCCTGGCGTGCTCCTGACCCACCGCAAACCCAGCCCGGGGGGAGGACCTTGTGACTCCTGTGTAAGCTGTGAGCCGGGGTGTGGAACGCGCGCCCTGACGGATAAAGACCCAGGCCAGTTTTGGAGTGGGAGCGATTTTCTCTACCGGAGGACATAGGGGGCTTCGAAAAAGCCTGAGACATCACACATGCCCTGTTTCTTCTTTTAAAGATTTATTTTGGCAGAGTGACAGGGAGCTTCTGTCTGCTGGTTCACTTCCATGGCTGCCTACCATGCCTGCCAGGGCTGGCCCGCCATGAAGCCCCTGGCTGGCAGGCGCGGCACCTTGGGCCACCCGGAGGCCGGCCGCCTTCTCAGGCTCAGTAGAGGGGGTGCGGGATTGGAGGCAGTGCAGCTCCTTTGTGGCTGCCACAACAGCAGCCCCACACCTTGTCTTTGAATTGCATTTTCCATGAACCTTCGAAGCCCCCGTGTCCAGGAGGTTTTGTCAGATGCGAGTCCCTGATTCAAGCATCTGTTTGAGGAAGGGAAAGACCTCCAGCGGCCGAAGTACCTCTCCTGAGGGGAGGGAGGGGCTTTTGTAAGTAATAGCTTGCCTTGGTAAATTAATTCATTGACCTTTACTCTAAAATGCTGAAGTTTAATTAATTTAATGAGCAGGAATGTATTGAGTGCTTATGCTCACATCTTTAGCACTGCCAAGCAAAGAAGCAGTTCATTCAAGGTTAGGTCTCAGTTCAACTTTGGCTTGTCTCCAGGTGACTGATTTTTACAAAAACAGATTGAACTTGGACAAACACACCTCCCTCCTGGCCTGATGTAGAATCCACACCTGAGGTGCAAACTTAAGTGTTGGTGCCTGGGGCAGTGGGATCACCTGTGGTCACCTGCAGGCGATAAGTTTTAAATCAGATGGATTTTGTTGTTGTTGTTGTTGTTATTTCCAGTCTAGCCAAGCTGATTCCCCAAAGACTCAAATAAAAAATTGCTTAGGTGGTGAGAACAGAGGCATTGTCCATTCCAGCCATGGACGACGCATGGGTGTTCCTGGGCTTACGGCAGCATCACAGCGTGTAGGGGCTGGATTCAGGGCGAGCACCGTGCCGTGGGCCACGGGTACACTTCTTGGGAGATCCGGGAGGCACCACCTGCCCACCCCGGGGCGAGTGCTCACATCTGCACTTGGGATGCAGCTTGGCAGGATCAGACGACCTGCCAGGACCATGGGGCAAGGAAGTTCAGGCAGCAAGCTGGGAGCTGGATGGAAGAAGCCAGGTTCTGCTCTCCCAGGCAGACAGTTGCTCCCCCGCCGGCCCCTGGACTGCTCACCTTCGCTCTGCTGGGTACCGCTGGGGACAAGCGGCTGCTGAGTGACTGGATCCGAGTATGCACGTGACAGAACTGGAGGCAGGGGACCAGGAGTCAGGGCGCTACACATGCCGGCTCCCCATGCAAAGCTAACACCAGTCCTTACAGCAAGAACAGGTGGAGGTCCTGGTGCAGTGGGCCATAGCCCGCTGTTCCACCCTGGGACCCTGCATGGGTCATGGACGTCTGCCCAGAAGGCCCCACGTGAGGCATGGAGCCCGTGGGCCGGTGAGCAGGCCCAGGTTGGCATGGAGATGGAGCCAGGGGTTGCTCAGTGATACCATTAGGTGACTCCTTTCCAAAAGCAGCCGGCTAGTGTCTGCGAGAACTATGCAATTTGGTCTTATTAATAATAATAATGGTGTTCTAAAGTGATTATAATTACAGCAATTTCCATTATTTTTTTAAAAAAAAGGACGTTCATGCTAACATCATACTTCTCCCTGAAGCTGGGGAGAGGTCTACCAGCCTGCACCGTGCAGTGGCTTCAGAAAGGCTTTTGGATCTGGGTGGGGAAGAGTTTCTGTCACCTCCAGCCATCTGGAGACATAGCCAAGCTCCTAGAATGTGGACGCGGGACACCGGTCTCACGGCTTGTTTCAGCTCATGCTCTGATCATGCTGCTGTGCGTGACCATCGGTGCCTTAGTATGCAGGTATTTTTCAGGACTTGACCTTGGAGCTAAGGCCCAAGCACGTGCAGTTTGAGTTTGTGGTGAGAACAAACCAACCAGGGTATTCTGTGGGCACCATGCTGGCTGTAGGTGAGGCTGGGAAGCCATCAGGGCAAAGAAGGAATGTGACTGGAGGGGGCTGAGCCGGCGTGTACCTGGCTCCCCCTCCCGAGAGCAGAGAAAAACTATAGAAGGCTCTGGAACTGCAGACAGTTCACGAGGGACCCGGGAGGTGGCCCAGAGCAGCCAGAGGCAGGGAGCCAGAATACTGTTGCTCACCCGGCGGGGCTCGGGCCCCATGCTGGGTGTTTTGCGTGATCCGCTGCGGCTTGTGATAGAATTTGCACTTTTTCGGCTTTGGGGTAGGTTAGCTGTGATTCAGAGGGACAGGGAAGCAGTCAGCACAGCCTCCTTGCTGTGGGCCAGCCCGTGTGGTGGCAAGTTCCGGTTGTCTGCTGGTGCTGGCCGTCTCCCTTGGCTGCCAGAGCTTTGGCTGCCTTGGGCTGTGCAAGGCCAGGGTTGCCACACCCTAGGGGACCTGCACCTGCCAACGGTGGTTTCTCAGCTCATGGTCCTGGCAGCTGGAAGTACACTGAGCAGGGAACTGCCCCTGCTGAGGACCCGCAGGAGAGGGGTGCTCCTTCCTGCCTCTTCAGGACGCCTGGAGGCTCATGGCTGTGTCACTCCAGTCCTCACCTCCACCTTTGCACTGCCTTCTCACGCACCCTGCCTGCCTCTTGTCCTGACCATACTGCAAGACCTCCCCTTTGCACGGAAAGTGCTGGCTGGGGTCAGGACACAAGTTCAACCGATGTTTATAGTTACATAGATTTTTCTTTTCTTCTCTTTCACTCCCACCTTTTAATTACCAATAATTTCAGTTTGGAAGTCTGGTGTATTTTTTTCATCAGTGGCAATGAGCAGATGGTGGTGTTGGCGCAGTCCAAGCAAGAGCCGTGGCAAGATAGTGCACTGGGGGTGGGGGCTTCTGCATTTCCGTGCCCCCTGTTGGCTTCCCCACCATAGAGAGTGGCTGCTCAGTCGGCTGTGTGCCGTGGGGCTGCACTCGCTCATTCTGTGAGTACTGGGATTCGTGGGTGAGATGGAATAAACCGATCCAGTGTGCGTAAGCTTGGACTGATACATTTAAAGATGGCTTAGTGGCTAAATCCTCACCTTGCTTGCATGCCCGGGATCCCATATGGGCACCAGTTCTAATCCCGGCAGCTCCACTTCCCACCCAGCTCCCTGCTTGTGGCCTGGGAAAGCAGTTGAGGACAGCCCAACGCCTTGGGACCCTGCCACCCACGTGGGAGACCTGGAAAAGGCTCCTGTTTCCTGGCTTCAGGTTAGCTCAGCTCTGGCCACTGCGGCTACTTGGAGAGTGAACAAGCAGACAGAAGATTTTTCTGTCTCTCCTTTTCTCTCTACATCTGCTTTTCTAATAAAAATATATATTTCTTAAAGTATTGATTTAAGGGAGAGTGAGAATGCATCTTGCCAGCCTGCTGGTTCACCCTGTACCTGCCCATAGCAGCCAGGGCGGGCTGGACCAAAGCCACAGGCCAGGGTGCTCCATCCAGGTCCCCCACGTGGACAGTACATAGCCAGCTGCTGCCTGCCAGGGTACACACACAGCTGGACCCATGGACCAGAGCAGGTGTCTACAGGTGCGTTCATAACCTCCGCCGCGCCTCTCTCTTCTTCCTCCTGATTCCTTTAGTTGCAGGAAGGGGGCGTCACTTCTTCTTGGTTGCTCCTTCTTCTGGAATCTTGCTGGCCCCTCCTTCTGAGAGTCAAAAAGGAAAGCATGGGATGGCTAGCAGGACTGGGGCTTGTCCTGTGTGCTGGAGGCATGCAGCTGTGCGGGACCCGCATGG